TTTGGCATCAACACAGATAACATGTTTGAGTTCTGGGATTGGGTTGGAGGAAGATATTCTCTGTGGAGTGCAATTGGATTAACTATCATGTTATCGATTGGAGAGAAAGGGTATTTGGAATTGTTGAGCGGCGCACACGCAATGGACAAACACTTCAGAACCACCGACTTCTCGAAGAACATTCCAGTGATTATGGCGTTGTTGGGTGTTTGGTATAATAACTTCTATAAAGCTGAATCTCAAGCTATTTTGCCATATGACCAATATCTCCACAGATTTGCGGCATACTTCCAACAAGGTGATATGGAAAGTAACGGCAAACGGATCACAAAAGATGGTCAAACTGTTGATTACACAACTGGTCCGATTATTTGGGGTGAACCGGGAACTAATGGACAACACGCCTTCTATCAGTTATTGCATCAAGGCACGAAATTGATCCCAGCAGACTTCATCATCCCAGCAAACACATTGAACCCAATTGGAAATCACCACACCGTCCTCTTGGCAAACTTCATTGCACAGACCGAAGCTTTAATGACTGGAAAGACAGAAGAACAAGTCGTCGCTGAATTGAAGAAGCAAGGAATGAAGGAGGAAGACATCCAGAAGTTACTCCCACACAAATTGTTCCCAGGCAATCGCCCAACTAACTCTTTTGTGCTTGATAAGATGACTCCGTTTACTCTTGGTGCTTTGGTTGCTATGTATGAGCATAAAATCTTTGTCCAGGGGTGCATCTGGAACGTCAATTCATTTGATCAGTGGGGTGTCGAGTTAGGGAAGCAACTTGCGAAAGCCGTCCAAGTCGATTTAGAGAGCGAGAAGTTAGTCAACAAGCATGATTGCTCGACTGCTGGTCTTATTGAATTAGTCAAGCAACTCAGAAAGAATTGATTCTTTTTACTCATCTTTTTTTTAAATAGTAACTCTAAAAGCTATACCATTTAAACGCATCTATGGCTACACAACAAACTAGGTTAGTCGACAAATACTTGTCCGCAACACAAAAATGCGACTTGTCCCTCAAACACGTCTTAATAGTCGGTCTTGGCGGTGTTGGGTCGTATACCGCAGAGATACTTGCGCGTAGTGGTGTTGGCCATTTAACAATAGTAGATGCCGATGTCGTCGCAGCAAGTAACATCAATCGCCAGCTCCCAGCAACTCCACAAACTATTGGCCGGAAAAAGGTCGAAGTGGTCAAAGAGCGCCTGCAAAAGATAAACCCTGAAATCAAAATCGAGACCATCGAGAGATTTATAGAGAACGAGGGCATTCAGGAGATATTAAAGTGCAGGTATGACTACGTCGTCGACGCGATCGACAGCGTCTCACCAAAAGTCTTTTTGATTAAAAATGTGATGGAGAGGGGCATGAGCTTAGTTTCATCATTTGGGTCGGGTGGGCGTTTCGACCCCACAAAAGTAGGGATTGCAGATATCTCACAGACAGAGAAGGACCAGTTAATGCGTGTGGTACGATATCGGTTACACAAACATGGGATTAGAACCGGGTTCAAAGCAGTGTATAGTTTAGAAAGTCCAGACAAAGGCGCTTTGATGTTTCAAGAGGAGAAGTTTAAGAAGTCATCATTTGGAACGTTGTCATATATGACGTCGATATTTGGAGCGAAGTGTGCGGAGGTTGTACTAAGGGATTTGACAGGGAACCCAGTTGTCACAAAAGTTGTTGAAAAGAGGTGGGAACAGAATGGGAAAAAGTTCATTGAAGTTGACGATGACAGTGAGGAATGCAAAGATTATTCTGATTGATTGGCTCGAGAGTGTTTTCCTTTGAAATTTGAATGCATGTTTTGTAAATTTACTATTACTAATAATTAAAGTACTTATACAATATAGTTTAAGATAAAGTTGGGTTATAATGTTCAATATGTTTTAGAAAGTAATTTGTATACAAAAGTTCTGAAATCTTAGGGAATCCGATTAGATAATTAGGTTTTTTATATGTAAGATTTGAAATTGTAATTAAAGAGTTTAAATTTAGTTGTTTTCAATTGACCTTTTATAATTAATTAATTAAAAAAATAATATTAGAAACTAAAAAAATCAATCTATTGGCACAATTCACAATACTCAAAACACTTAATATCAGTATATTAATAAATTATAACAAAATAAATTAAAAAAATACTAATTGATTATTCAACGACTTGGTAACTTTGAGAAGGAAATGAATTAGAATTATTCTACAAAAGAATCGGTTGAGAAAAGGCTCTAAATGAATTATTTGAATAACAAATAAAATGGGTGTAAAACCCAACTTTTTGGCTGATAATGAGAGCAACATTTAGAAAACCAAAAAACATGTTGTTTTTGAATGAAAAAATAGAACGAAAAACAAAAAAAGCATCAAATGCTGTTATTGCTCCTATGCCTTGTTAATGGCGAATTTGATTTACGTCAGCCAGACGCTGAGCTTTTCAATCAATTCATTCGGGAATATCACCGAGAATATCGTACTGAAGAAGAAAAAACACGGCGATTTCTTATATTCAAGTCGGAAGTGAACACCATCAGACTACTTAACGCTGAACGAACAAAAGACTCGGACGCTGTTTTTGAGATCAACAACTACACCGACCAACTCATTCCAGAAATCACTAAAGTGGTCCCCTCCGAATTAACACGAGAAGAAGAAGCCATTGAAGAACGAGAACGGTATGATCAAGAGCATGATATCCCTTCAAAGAAACATAAGAGATATAAGAAGAGTGGTCTGTCTCATCTCAAGAACATCAAATTGAGAGGTCCAGGTGGCGACTTCCGCAATGATACCAACAACAACACTATTATAAACAACACAGATAATAGTAATACTTATAATAATAGTAATAATCCTATCGAAAATGAAAGTCAATCGAGTGATGACAACACAGAGAATTACACCTTCGATAAAGACGCTTATCGGCCGTATAACAATTTGCCGGACTTACCAGAAGGTGACATCATTCCTCTCTACCATTCATACTGTGGACCGTATGTCATGAACAATACAGAGAGAGAAAAGGTCGATTTGTGTGGACAACAAGTCGACCAAGGAAGGTGTGGATGTTGTTACGCTGCGTCGTTGGCTAACTATGGACAATACGCATATGCCAATATCTCATATACACTTACACATGACGCAAACGCAATCGAAAAACCGTTATTCACACCACAGAGATGGACAGACACCGTTTACACCTCCGCTACATCGCGGTGCTGCGGAGGAAACCCCGGTGACTGTCTCACACAACTCCCTTCATTCACGTTCAACGCCGATTACCCGTACGTCGACGTTAATGGGGCGGGGTGTAATCTCCGAGGCGACCAAAACTCAAAAGTCCCGATCAAGTTATACGCAAAGAAGTACACCGAATTTTCTACAGCAGACTTGGAACGCGACGAAGAGAAGGCTTTTGCTTTGAAGAAGATATTACACCACTACGGACCGTTTTTGGCGGGAATCCGGACGGGAGGAAATGGGTTTCAGTCATACAAAGGAGGGATATTTCGACCTAAAAAGGACCGATGCAAAGGAAGACCTGACCATCAAATATTTGTTGTTGGGTATGGAGTCGAGAACAATGAGGAATTCTTTATCATCCGGAACTCGTGGGAAAATGGATGGGGCGAGTATAACAATTATATGCGTGTCTCAAATTATTCCCTTTGTGGAATCGGCGCGATGATCGGGAAAACCGTGCATCCTATTAATTACATCATCGAGAGTTACAGCTGTTTGCTTGACGAAAATTGCAAAAACTGCGATGCGACAAGTTTAGTATGTACAGAGTGTAAAAATGGGGGAGTCCCTAATGAGAGGGGAATATGTAATTCAAGTCCAAGAGTTTGGATGATACTATTTTTTTTAGTATTATTACTATTGTAATAATACTATTTGAGTATCATTGAGTGATATGTTATATAACTAACAAATTGTGACAAGTTTTTGAACGACTGAGTAATTCTGTATTGTTTTTAATTCCCAAATTCATTTTAGTATTTTCTTAATAGAATTGAAACTATTCAAAAGATAGTAGATTCAATTTATGATTTATAATTTATCTTTTATTAATTAATAATTACTATTTATAATTAATAAAGAATTAAAATAAACTAGTTATTTCAGTACATGTCAAAGAACACAAAAAGAATACAAAAACACACTTTTTTATGTTGGTGTCTTTTTGCGTACAAAAACGGGAATAAGCTCTATGAAGACTACAAAATATTTAGAAATGAAAATACTTCAAATCACACAATTAAAAATAGTAATAGTAAAAATACTCTACCAAAGGAAAAAACTCTGATATAACTGAGAATTGTATTCACGAAATGAGGCGATATATTTCCCAAGCATTGAGTGAAAAAAGCTTTGTTTCGTCGCAATGCTCGTACCAAACAATTGTGTTGTCTGCTGAATATATTCGACGTTGGAACACTCGCCGCCGTCTTCGCCTCATTGAATTTGGACTGAACGGGTTTGACTCACAGAAGAAAAATGCAATCAAAAACGCAGTGAAGAGATATCAGAAGAGACACGAAGAATCAAATTCCGTCTCGAAAGTGAGTAAGATCCTCCACAAAACTATCCCGGAAGATAAGTTCTTCATCTTCACAGAACAACCCATCGGACTTAGTGTCGACGAGTATTACGCGACCACTCATGTGTCCGAAATTGAGTTCAATACACACGTATCTCAGCTCAAGGAAATTGAGAATGAGATTGGCGACATCAGCGATATCGACGACCTCACTTTGTCCATCTTTGAGGTCGACGATTCTCCATTTCCTTCATTTAAAACAACCGTATTCAGTGTATTAAAGGAATTTATGGATACCCAAATCGTCCCAAGATCACCAACGGAGAGTGAAGAGTCTCATAACGTCCCAATAAGTAACTCCCATACAGTGCAGAAGCTATTATTCACATTACATAGTCAGAGGAAGACTATAGAACAACGCAAAGAGAGTCTGTCGTGTAGTTGCCCACCACAACTTGACTTGAACAAATACACAGAAGAAGAAATTATTGGACAGGGGCGGTATGGTATTGTGAAGTTGATGGGTAAGCCCTCTGGGGAACGTATAGTAGTCAAAGAGAGTGTTTTAAAGACGACGAAATTTCTTGAGAAAGAGGCGAAGATCATGACGATGTGTGACCACCGCAATATAGTAAAGTGTGTAGGATATACCACTTATCACAATGAGATAGGGGAGGTAGGTGTACTTGGTATAGAGGAGTGTGACTGTGACTTAAAAAGTTATGTTGAGACTTTGAGGGAAAGAGGGAAAAAATTGAGGATAGAGGAGGCTGAAGACATCTTTGCACAGATCAGCGCCGGGTGCATTTACTTGTACAAAACGTTTGGAATAGTCCATAGAGACTTGAAGCCACAGAACATCCTTATTAATGTGAGGAGGGACGGTATTTGTGTGAAGCTGTGCGACTTTGGAATGGCCGTTAAAGGGTATGACAAGATGTGGGGACGTGTCGGGTCACCGGTGTACGCAGCACCCGAAGTTGTCAGAGAAGAGGAATTTGGAGAGAATAGCGATTTATACTCGTTGGGTGTCATCTTGTTTTACCTCCTCTTCATGCGAATTCCTTTTGACGTAGACGACTTGGACGAACTCAAAAAGGTGTTCGCAAGAGGAGTCGGGCCTGTGATTGGAAATTCGCCGGATGAGTGCGTTGTGAAAAAACTCATGGAGTTTGACCGATCAAGAAGAGTTGGATGGAAGGAGTTTGAGAAGATGAGATTTGGGTCCGAAATAGTGTGAATTAGATTGTTTGGTTCTTTTTATTAGTTTTTATCTAGTTAATGGTACCAATGAGATGCAATCTCGAAGCATAAACAAGAGCTATCAAATCAAATTGGTGAATCAATGGAGACATCTTTTTGTCCATCGAGAGGTTGATTAGATTATTACAAATTATCGTTATAGTTTTTGAAATAAATAACAAAATAAATAACAAAATAAATAACAAAATAAATAACACAAATCAGTCAGTTGACTTTTTAAAGCACGACTTAAAAGCAGAAGAAAGGCATGTTTGGGCATAAGGGATATATGATGCTACATACCAGACACAAGAGCATATTTCTATAATAACAGAGAGGAGTGTTAATATTGTAGAGTTAAGATATAAGGAAGAAAAGAGGGTCAGACCAATTGAGACAAAATAGATGATGACCGCGACTAACTTTGCTGGGTCATTAAAAATAGACACAATCTGTGCTTTGACACTTCGAAGGAAAGAAGTTCCGACGAAGAGAAGAACATTTCCGAAGGTGAATATCAACGCAAATTTAGTTGGGAAAATGAAGAAGGAGAGGGACTGTGTGTGAACTGATTGTTCTAGTTATTACTATAGAAAGACAAACTATAAATAGACTTAAAAAGCCGAGTCCACAGAAAATGACACAACACAACATCCGTTGCGTCCAAGTCAACTGTAAACAAGAAAACATCCCTTTGTCTTCATCTTCAAATAATCGATCAAACCATGATGAGGAGTCTGGATCGTCACTTTTGGTTATGAAAAAGGAAGTTGCTCCACTAATTAAGGGGGTTGTGTCAGTGAACATGTTTTCAGTTCTCTTTATTTTTCAGTTAATAGTGATCTTTAAACCTCGAGTCTTCGTTAGTGGAAGACAAAACCTTTATATACAAACAATAGATATGAGTGTCTCTATTACAACAGATAACGTGGTACTCCTTTTTTCCGTTAAGTTGTCTTATTATTATAGAGTATTAACTATTCAAATCATAAACTATACCATTATAGTAAAATAATACTATATAAACTATATAAACTATATTAGACCGTCAATATAGAACTGAAAGAATTCTTTGTGAATTGCTTGTGGATGCCAAGACGTAAAAAGAACACACCAATAAGTATCAGCACATTTGCACGTTACACTGACACATTAACAACACAGAAATTGTATTTGGTGAATAAGAAATACACCACAACTCTTGATAGAAGTCCGTGGTATAACCCTAGTTTAGGACACGATTTCAAAAAGATGGTCATTGAAACGCCATTGAATGTTATTAAGGAAAAGTACAATAGAACATATCAAGAAGTCTTGACTCGCTTTCAAATGATCTATTTGACTGTCTCACAAAGCGATTTTGATAGGTCAGAGACAAAACTTGGTCGTGAAGTATTGAAAAGATTGGTCTCATTAACGATCACATCATTGAATGAACCACTCAAACCAATTTTGGTTGACTTGGTGGAGTCGTTGAGTTACTCACAACAACTGACACATTTGGATATTTCGATGAAAATTCTCGTTTTTAAAAATGGGAAGAGTCGAGTCTATAAAAACATCGAGAGAGTCTTTAGAATAGTTTCTTTACAAAATGTCTGTGTCAGAGATGTCACTAATACAACTAACACTAAAAAGTGTATTAAACACCTTTCACGATATTGTAAGGACAAAGGTGAACGAATTCAAGTGTCTTATTTTCTTGAGGAAAAATGTCCAGTTAGTGACTTAAATGAACTTCTTCAAGAGTCTGATATTCGTTCATATTTTGTTGTCTCCTCATTAAAATCCATTTGTGGCAATTTTAATGTTTTAAGAGAGAGGAAAGTGGTGTTGTCTAAAACACTTCTGACGCATTTTGCAGTAGAAGTCGACAGTGCATTATACACTCACTTTTTCATGTTATGTTACAAGATGTATCTCTTTCAAATTCCAATTCTCCACGTTTCTCCACATACAATATTAAATGGGTTGGTTTTGGGTCTACAAAATAACATCAAAATTATTGGCGAATTGCCACAACAGATCGCCTTTTTGATACCATTAGAAAATATAACTTTAACAGTAACAAGTGGAAATTATATGGGAAACACTAATTTGTGTGTTTTAACCCAACTCAAAGCACTACAACTGTATGCAACTCATTCTTTAAAAAACGTTTCGTTTGCATTGCCAAGTGCTATAACAACACTTGAAATTGATAAATTTGTCAATTCCTTTGATCAAATGGTTAATATTAATAAATTACTCAATCTCAAAACACTTATATTAAAAAGATTGACACTTTTACAAAGTACTTTTTTCCCAGTGCTTGCAGTACAAAATTTAATTATAAAACAATGTGATTTCTATGTGGATTCGATCGAGTCGTTTTCTTCCTGTTTGACTTCAGTAGAATTATGTGAGTGTAACACTGTTTGTCTCACAAAATATCCAAAAACACTTAAGAGTCTTTCATTGTCTAATTTGGTCTCACCTACTCATGACTTTCACGATATGGCAATTGTCACATTTCATCTTTGTGGTGTCACATTTCTTGAAAACTTGTTGTTGCCACTCTCTGTGGAAAATTTGAACATCACTTCATGCAAAACACCACGTTTTTGGGACATTTCTAAATACACAAGACTCACTACATTGGAGTGTATAAACTGCACTTGTGATGAAGTGTCTCTTCCACTCAATATATTGTACTTGAAACTTTCACATTGCACTTCTTTATATATTCTGCATAACTTGAAAAGTCTCAAACTCAAAGTTCTAAGTATTACATTGGATACACCATCAGTACAACACATCGCACTGCCAGCTAACACCTTTTCATTCAAATTTGACGATGTCAACAAACAACTTGTATTTCAATATATTTAACTAGCTGTTATTGGTTTTATTATTATTAATTTATAATATATAAAACAAAAAAAATAAAAAAATAAAAAATGCACTAACCGGGACTCGAACCCGGATCTCCACCTTGGGAGGGTGAAATTCTGCCCTTAGACCATTAGTGCTTCTAACAATTAAGTAAATATAATTTATATTAACAATTCTAGTTATTAGATTATTATTATAATAGTATTAGAGTTAGTAACATTTAAAATCAAACATATTAAAAACTTGAACAAATTGAACAAATCCTTTTACACACATAATTAAGTATAATACTTGCTATATTTAACTATACCAAAATTACTATAATCCTTCAAAAACTGCAAAACGGAAAGGAACTCAAAAACAAAGATGTCTGAGAAGATATCATACGATCAGGTTCTTTATGAGGAAGACGTCGACAAAGTTGATATGCTGAAACTGAAAGACGTCACATATGTTGCGTCGACTGGTGGTGGTCCTGTGTTAGCTTACAAACGTCCCAGAGCGATGAGTAAAGACACAGATTACCCATTGATTTCAGTCTTCCATGCGAATGGGTCCTTCTTTTGTTCGTTTAAAATCAAAATAGATCCCAGTGATACAGTCAAGAGTATGGGATGGACCTCAAACTATATGGTAATGGTGATGACGGTGAACTTAAAGTTTTATTTATACAACTTAGAAGGGATGTGTCTTGTCTCCAATGCCTCCAAAACCAGTGGGCGTATCTCATTTCTCCAATTTTTCGACTATGGGTGTGGAGTCTGTCTTGAAACGGGATACCTCTTTGCAATCAAAATTACGTTTCGACGGGAGAAGATACTGATTGAAGAAACAGAAGCGTTTAAAAACGTTGAAATGGATACGATGTGTATGTGGTATAACAATTTTGATGACACTATTAACTTTCTCATCTTCAATGAGAAGTCGGTGAGTTACTATCGCCCACGAACTAAAGACTCGAAAGAAGAACAGATCTCCAATAACAGTGTCACTTACTCATTAGACCAGACTTTATTGAGATCCTTTGATAAAGTCGTTGGATGTTCGTGTGCGCCTTTATTGCCGATCATCTTTGTAGTGTTTCAAGTCAACAACTTTTTGCAGAGTGCGATGTTTATACTCGATAAGGGCGTGATCATTCAAATCAATGGCATAGACGACAAGTTTGCGATTAACCACGTCTTTGGGTGTGGGAAGGCGTACTTCATTTATAACAACTTGATGTTCATGCGAACGGATTATAACGAGTTTAAAGGATATTCGTACTCGATTAAACGGAGTGCTACTGCAAGTGTCAAATGTGAGTATGCGTTGTATGACGAAGTCTATTATGTCCAAAATGACACGTACAACACTATACAACTGTTTGTTCGAGAAAAGAATCGGTTCAAAGTGATTGTGAAGGGAAGAGCCATATTAAACAAATTGAGGAGCAGCCCTGGGGAAACGGATATCAGTTCGTATGAGAGGTGTAATGTAGGTGAAAAGGATTACGACACTTATCTCACGAAATATGCGGGGTACGAGATGTTCATGTTTTATCGCAAACAAATCGACACATCGCGGTTCAAGAAATTGGTTGCAGAGAAGACTGGGCATTTGAAGGGGAGTGGGTCGAATACGGTTGCGTTTTACTTTGATCAGGGATATCTGTATTTGTGTTTGTGTGCGTTGTATGCCAACCCACACGATCCGATTCAAAATGAGATTCTGTCGTGTATGTTGTACTATTTAGACTTTGCGAAGAACACGAGTATACGAGAGGAAATGCACAAGATGTATTTATCCGTGTGTTTTGCTATTCGAATGATCAAAACGATGAATAGGAAGGGGATAATGATCACATACGGGCAATTCAAATATTTGAAAGACAGAGAAAACAGTGGATATTACTGTTTGGGGACGAATAACACACATATGAGGTCCTGTGAGAATTTCAATTACCACCCCATTCAATCCCTTCTGATGGTGATGAATGAGTTCCAGTTGTGTATTAAATGGTGCGAGTACAATTCATTGTCGAAGTTCCCCGTTTTGTCGCAGTGGTGTTCGAAGAAGATTAGTGCGTTTATTAAAGACCCCACAACGGACAAAAGTAAATGTGAAGAAGCACTTGTAGATGTGAAGCGACGGATGCAAATGATGAGTGAGACGTATGTGTCGGTCGTCATTGAAAATGCGATGAAAAGTGCGGACCAAAGTTCCGACGTCGTCTTGTTTCTGTCGAATATCAATAACTATTGTCGGTCCCATGTGGTCAAATTGTTGATTTATGGCAATTACGAGAAAACAGACAACTTGGCGACTAATGTCATCTTTTCGGTGTCGCTGTTCAATTGCGACCAGAAGACCATTTTCTTCTTTTTTAAGAAGAATTTGGAGGATGAAAGGTGTATGATCCGGTTTGATGCGAACGAAAAAACGAACGTCAATTCATTGATCACACTGCCGTACTCTGCTAAAGACCAAAAGAACGAAAATGGGGAATTAACAGCAGAAGCTATTGAATCGGCCAAATTAGTCGAGAGGTTCCCCGCACAATTTCAAAACAATTTGGCGTTCAAGTTGATGCAACAAGGAGCTCAATTACTGTGGAGATATATCACTTCGTGGGAGATATATACAAAGAAGACGACGGAGAAGGTCGGAGCGAACTTTAGAAATGTGAATTATACTGTTCTTGAAGACATGTTTTTCAGAGATTTTAAACAAGTCGATTTGCCATTGAAACAGACCATTCCAAATTCAAATGGGGAGTGGTTTAACTACTTTAATAGTCTTCCAAGAGTGAAAGAAGTCGCAAATCGTCTTATCCTCACACACATGGCAATGGCAAGAGATTTTGGGAATAGAAAGGCTGAAAATGTGTATGAAGAAACAACAAAAAAGGCCGACAGTGAACGCGTGCTGACTCCTTCGGTCTTCCAAACGGTGTGTAAATTTTTGGCGACAAAGAAACCAACTCCAGAAGAACTCAAAAAGATGAAAGAAACTGCTAACGTGTCTGATCTGTTTTTGCAACGATGCGAATTGTACGTCATCGACTCGATGCAAGCGAACGACTTAAGAGCCAAAGAGAGACTCGAATGTTTCTTGGAAAAAGACGTCCAATTGTTATTCCCATTATATTACTTCATACAAATTGCACATGACAAGAGATACACAGAGACTCGAAATAAGTTCATTGCACTCCTGAAAACTAAAAAAGAAAGGCTGAGAATGTTAGTCACGTTGGGTGATTATTTGGCTGCTATTGCACTTGCAGAAAATAATCTGGAAGAAGTAAAATATGTCCAATCACTGTTTGTTCTTTGTCGTCTTCTTTATTATAAAAGGTGTGGTAGACTCACTTAAAGCTTGACTAAAGCAAACGACCCTATCAACTCAACTATCGCAAAACTAATCGAAAAACTCACCCCACCTCCTCCTCCCCCTCCTCCTGTCGCTCCAATCGACCCGGAAAAATTGCCACAGATCATGAAAGATGCAAACAACATTGGAGCAAACTCCGAACGAGCAGAACAAATTCATAAGGAACAAGCAGCACAACTGGAAGCAGCCGAAAAGGAAAAACAGTCACAAAACTCCACAGAGAAAAAGGAGGAAATTTTGGCAAACATCCCTTCCTTAACAACACCAGACCAACCACCCAAAGCATAATTCATTTAATTTTCTTTCGTGTTCTTTACAACTATGAACAGCACTGGTAAGCAAATAAAGTACACAAATTGAAAATATAAAACAATTGACACCACAAAATCAATCAAAATCCGTGGACAAGCTCAAATCGCAAAACAGATTTTCCTTTTGCGAGCACAAACATCGAATCTTCGATCGGACACACCCACTTCGCACCTAATAACCTCTCGTCCATATCAAGGATTTTCGTCTCAAAGTTGAAGGGGTTAACAACTACAAACACAGTTTCGGTTAACACCAAAATGTTCTTGCGATCATTCGAAATGCACGCACAGACTATTTTGTCCAACTTAAGTTCCTTTGTGACATTCCACTTCTCAGTGTCGATCTGTGTTATGCGTCCATTCTCAACGAGATACAAAAACTTCCCTCCGGAGAAAGTCATAAACACAGTACCTTCCCTTTCCTTGATTTTCACTTCTCCGGCTTGGATATTGTTTTGGTGAGATTCTTTGTCGTAAATTGAATACAACACAATGCCTTTTTGATTTATTACACAAAACGGTATTTTTTTCGCGTTTTTGTCACATTCTGGGAAGTAAAATCCAACAACTTTTCCGTCGAAGTGTTGTGTCCTTAAATAGTCTTGCGAACGAAAACCGTTGGTCGCTTGATAGACGTGGAACATTGGGAGTTTGGTATTTGGATTATCCTCTGTTCCAATTAAAATTAAATTTGCATCATTCGGGAAGAACGCCAATTTGGAAACCATTCCAGAAACATTTGGGGAAATTGGAAATGGTGGATAGGGTACGCTGTCTGCCAACTTGAACAACACACACTTTGTATCGTTGCTGTAAAGAAGGAACAACCCGGAACGAGTCACCTCACAGCACACGGGAGCAGTTGGGTGAGAGCCTTGAAGGGGGTTCTTGTTGTTTAATTGCTTAAAAGAATTAACAGTTTTTTTGTAGACAAACAATTCGTTGGCCGAACTCTTGGTGTAAATATAAATGTCGCCCCGTTTCCCAGACACTGTCCCACACTCCACCATTAAATTTTGACCGTTACAAATCGTTCGTGGGTTTTGCAACAACGGATTAAGAACGTGTGGGAATTCGTCTTGTCGCTTTAATTCATGATGTAAGATATCTTGGGTTGGACCAACTCTTTCATTTGGTTGTGGTTTGTCACTAGGAGCTAAAGGATGAGATACAGATTTTTTTGTTTCTGGGGCAACTTCCTTTTTTATTAGGATACTATCAGGTGGTATTTCTTCACTCTTTTTCACAACAGAATCGTCGTCTCCTTGTTTCGAAGGTTGGACAAGAAAAGAAGGATGACTATTTGAAAGGTCGCTCCACGAAATAATGCATTCAACTGTATTGGTGAACATCTCAACACAATTCTGTGCCGGACTGTACCCAACCTCGATATTGTCAATGCCGGAAAGTAAAATCGCATCGTCCAAACCCTTGACCTTTTTACAGCCTTCCGTACTCTTGAGAAAAACCCCACTTTTTGACCTGACTATCATCCCATTTTTACCTCCAAATAGCGCCTTTTCTTCTGTTTTTTGGTCTCTTTCGATTTCTTCGTTCTGTCGCTGTATATTGAAAAATTTGCTTTGGGTACTCACAACACCATTGTAAGCACTCACAACTGAAGGGATGTTTTTTTCCGTTTTCTCTTCGTATTTTTTCCCGAAGCCTCCAAAAATTGAATAAACACCGTCCCCTTTAACAACCTTCAAACAGCAACTGTGGGAACCAAAAACGAAATCCAAAACACCATCAGAGCTGAATAAAAGGACTTTTCCATTGTTTGAGTAAATTTTGAGCCTTTTATTATCCAAAACGACAATTTCTGTTCTGCCCCTCATCACCCCAACTTTTTGGACATTTTCCCCTTTAATTTCACACATAACGGAAACCCTCTGGTTTCCCTCCAAATATACCTTCACCTTTGTGCTTTGTGCAACAATAAAACATGGGAGCGAAGAATCAACGGATACAATTTCGGACGAAAATGAGTCTTGTAAACAAACACGGTTTTGGCTCAAGTCATAGCACTGAAACACTCCACTTTTGTAACCGATATGTACGATATCTCCTTCTGCGTGCAAAGCTGTCACAGTGTCTTTCATCCCATACAGTTTGCCCATTTGCGTGCCGAAATCAATATCACTAGTCGCGCCACACGTATGCGTATTGTTTAAAAACGACTCAATCACAATCTTCTCTTTTGGCTTTCCTCCACATTTCACGATATGGTCATACCGTATTCCGTTTGATACAAGTCTTTTTAGTTGGTCTGGGATGATGGAAGGGAACACCATTTTCTCTGTCATTTCTTTGCTCTCCGACATTGCCGCGACGATTACGTTTCCCAGTTGTTCAGCTCTGTACTTCTCCGGGTTTTCGGTGATTGGTTTGACCTCTAAATCATTGTACACGGAATACCCCATTGATATTTTTGCCTTGATCTTGTTCAGCCTTTCCGTCACCAATAATGACTTTGGATTTTCCAACGCCTCAATTTCTCTCTTGACTGCGACAATCTTCTCGATATCGTTCTGGATACATCCGGCGCACAGTTGGTATTCAAGGAGTGCGACGCATGCTTTGACTGTCGCGAAATCATTATGGCTTGGGTTAAGTCCTTTTATTTTAAACATATTTTTTAATGCCTCAAATGTTCCTTCGTTTCATCAAATTTGATCTGAGTAAATGAGAGGCCAAATTGATAACAGCAAATGGTATTCATCAAAAAAATAATATGTAAAAATCTGAAGCGATTGATGGAATGACAAACTTGACAAAACAACGGAGGTACATTTGGAGTTTTTCCAGATCATTTCTCTTTGTTAATTCAATAACATATTCCTTTGAAAAGTAGAGTTTTAGTAAAGCGCTCGTCATCAGAAATATTTCTTTATTTGTTTGTGATTGGAGATACTGCAAAATCAAATAAGAGAATTCCTTCGTTTTGTCAGACATCTTATTTTTTTAGTTCAGAGGAGTTGTTATTTTTGAAAAAGTTAAACTATTAATTTATACGATTTTATTAGTATTTATAATTGTATAATAAATTCATTCCAATCATTCAATGATCACATCAGTCACAAAAGACCCTCCAAGTCTTTGAAGAGCCAGCTTAAACTCACCCATCGTCATCAAATTCGTTTTGGTCAAGAAAGAGGTCTGATTGTCAATTATTGTACCACACCAATAGTATATTTTATTACAAAAAATGGCAATTGAACATAAATTAGAATTAAATTATGAATTTGTTATATTTTTTGATACATATATTTTTTACTACAAATACTATAGTAAATAAAACTAAAAAATACAATCGAGTCGAAGAACTTTCATGATATAAAAAAATAGTAAAAACAAACTATATTGCAAGTCATATCTTTTTGAGCGAGAAGTGAGCCGAGTTGTGACTTTGGGTTCAGTTGGAGATATATATCGCTCCCTTCGATGTAATTCACAAAGACCAAACCGTCGTCTTTAATGAACTTCACTACCTCTTCCGTGTATTTTTTGAGTGGATCGAAATCGACGAACCCGATTTTCGAAGCGTGTTGGCTACAATAATCAGAGAGGAACTTTGTATTTTGTTTAGTGAAGAGTTTTTTGTCCAATTTAATAGTGATCCCATTCTTGAATTGTGGCATAGCAAACAATTCCTTTGCAAAGACTTCATTTTGTTTTAAACAGAAATTGTTCTGAAGAAGCTTCTGAGTTTGTTGTGCATATCCACACAACAAGCGGACGACACGGAGTGACGGGGAGAAATTGTTCAAGTATGCGTTGACTGCAAGGTCTGTGTCGAAGTTAAAAATGATACCTTTACCGTTGTCTCTTTTAACTATAAATTCATCTTTATTTCCCATTTCGAGTGGGAGAGTAGTAACTGAAGCAAAGAAGTTGATGAACTTCATAAAGAATTTTTGTGGAGTAGCTATTGGTTTTAGAAAGAAGAAGTGTGAGAGGATGGCGTCAACAATTTCGTCATTGAAGTAAGGCGAAAAGCCTTTTGAATAGATCCATTTTTTGACAAGACGACTTGAAAGGGAGAAACTTGGGTTTTTCAAACAGCTTTCTAAGAGATAAGAAGACACTGCGGGTTGTTGTCTGTACATGTGTGCACACTTCTTAGCGTTTTCTATGTCATCGTACTTGAAGAAGAGTTGCATTTCTTCTGCGGAGTTATAATAAATAGAAAAGACGTAATTCTTATAGTAAATGGTATACCCGTCTGTTCTCACAATTCCTTGAATCCCTTGCTTACTCAGTTGATTTTTAATTTCCAGACTCAGACTAGTTTTCATCGAATTAATAGCTTCGAGACGATCCGGCCAATTTCCTAAATAAGTAAAAGTGATGACGAGAGGGATAGACTCCACATAAAGTGAATAGTCGACTGTGTTGTTTGTTATCTTTTTAGGGTAAATATATGAAGTGAATCGAGTACTTGCTGAGATAGGTCGTACAGTAGAAATATCTACAGGCAATTTGGTGTTCTTAATAATGTCGATCAGTTCAAGAGTACTTTCTCGTATATCAACACCACGTGTGGATGGGGGTAACATTCGAATTATATTATTAAAATCGGTAATCATATTATGATGTGTAAGTCCAAAGTGTTTGATTAATAACTGCCGGATGAAATATTCGTTGGTCGAAAACGACTTGTCACTCTCCGTTTGGTGCGTTACTACACACATCATACGCCCATCTCGAAACCGCCGAAACTCCGCTAACTCCCCCCATATGTGTTTGAACTTCTCATGCTTCTCTTTGTCTTCAAATGAAGGCCCTAGAATTTGCTCTTTAAAACACCCCCAGCGGTCGTATTTGAATAACAACAAAATGTCCTTCGTCTTCTCTTTCAATGATGGAAATCCACTCAAGTCAGTCACAATATCCATCTTCTTAATTCGCCCAACTAAGGCTTCAGAAATCATCTCACTCATCGAATTTAGGGTTTCTAAAGAAAGTCTGGAACCCTCTCGAATTCTTATCGCTAAGTCGTATTGTGTGAAATCGGTAATCTCATCGTCAGATTCGTCTTGTGACTCATCTTGTGGATCGTCTTGTGATTTGTCGTACTCAGAAAGACTGTTTTCTTCGTCAGACATTTCCTCACTTTTGACTTCGGTCTTCACATGTTCCATTGACATAATAAACCCTTGTAAAACTCGTAGTTTATGTATTTCTATATATATTAATAGAAAAACTAAATAGAAATATACTAGTCTATCTACTAGAATAATATCTATCTTTAATGTATAGTTAGTATAGTATATTCCATAGTATTTAAAACCACTAAATGATATAGTTTATTATAATAATAATGAATTAGAAATGATTAGTAAAAAAGAACCAAGGGTTTTGTAATCAATCGAGTTTAGGAATTGTCTTGTTCCTCTTTATTGCAGCATGAATCTTCTTCTTGTCACGCTTTGTAAGTTTTTTGTCAGTTGGCTTGCGTCCTGTCGATCCGATAAGACCAAGTTGTTGTAAAGCCTGTGTATTCGAGTCTAAGTTCTCCACTTTTTTCTCAAGCTGCGCTTTTGTCTGGGCTACTTGACTTACTTTTCGTGGTTTTTTGTCGTCCTTTTTGTCATTGGTTTTCAATTGTTTTGTTGTCTTGACCTTTGGCATCGAAATTTACTTATTCTGTTCGGTTAATTATAGTTATTATTGGGTATTTTTATTAATTGCATTTAATTAAAGTAATATGGTTAAATTAATTATAATGTATGGTTAAACTATAGTATGATAATAAATCTTATTTTTTTTAATTTTCTTTAATTTATTTTATTAAATTATAATGTTTATATAATTTAAAAGTATTTAAAAGTTGTAATATTTTTTATTACCGTTTTGTTATAATAATTTTTATAATTAAAATAATAAAATATTACTATTTTAAAACTTATTAACTTAAAATTTTTTTTATTGGAGTTTTATCTCATTACAAATAAATAAAGAACTATTATGTTCACATTTAAAATGACAAAACTGAAAGTCAAGAAAAGTGAAAATTGGTATTTTTAATAATAAAAAATGTTGACTTTTCTATCATTTTAAGTTTGTTTTATTTTTTTTAGATTTAAAGAGTTGTTTACAAAAATAATATATAACCAATAAATAATATAATATATATTATTAAATATATTATCAAGAGTTGTAAAAATATTTTTTGAAATAATAATAATGAGTAATTACCTATTTTCCCAATTTTTAGTCAAATTATTGTATATTTTTTCAATGAAAAAAATCTCTTTTCGTTCATCTAATTATTTTTATTTTAATATATTAAAAAATTAATTATAATTATGATTAGATTATAAAAATATCAACTCAATAAGCCATTTGACAAAAAAGATAATAACAATTTCCCATTATTTGAGTACTTTTAATCTTAAGATATCAGAAGAA